TATTTCCACAAATGGTGGTGAGGTTCTAAAAGCTCGCACCCCAAGGGGAGATTAAAAAAATGTCAATCCCATGATAAGTTAATTCCCTTTCCCTTCCCCTGGGAATAGGATCAAAGATTTAGTGCCAAATGGACCTCAGAGGACATAGATTCCAACACTTTATTTTACAGGTGAGAGAAATAGGACCAAGAAAGCTTAAGTGACTTGCCCTGAGGCAGGATTCAAACTCAACTCTTCTTGTCCCCAAGTCCAGGATTTTATCCACTCTCTAGCTGTTGGTAGCTGCTTGGCCTCTTCTACTCATTATTCTTGAAACCCTCACAAAAAACTTTTTAAATTGTTTTAAAAATTCATTTCCAGGCTAGCAGACAACCACTTATCAGTTCTAGTTATATGCAGTCACAAATAACAAGGGACTAAATGGACCAGTCAGTTCCTATTCCCCAGTTTGTTGTCTGTAGAGGAGGGTGGTCACCCCTTGCTTTATCCAGCCTCTGCTGAAACCTGAGGCCAGATCCTGCTCGACTGTGCCCATAGCCTCTGACTGAGACTAGAATCTATTCTATCCTGATTATTCTGACTTGTAAGAATAAATGGTTGCTTTATTTAAGAAGTAGCACAGAGATATGTAATGAGTTTGGTGGAATGAGCTGCAAGGCTTAAAACAGTTCTATCATGTGTTAGTTGCAAGGTGGGCAGGCAGCCCCATACGTTCTTCTGATCTGCCCCTCCTCTCTACAAGGCTGCCCACCTCCGAGGTTTCTCCTGGTCCCCAGCTCATCCATCTAGGGGAAGAATTTCCTAGTCTGCTCTTGATAACTGCTGCAGTGTTTGGCAGGGTATTTAACTAAATTCCAGTCTACCATGATTTTCATCAGCTTAGATGCTGGCCATATGGGCCTTATAACTTTTCTGACACAGTAGAATTATTTGCTGACTATAATATTATCTTGTCAACATTTTCACTTGTATTCTCTCAACATCTTCACGTAGTGTCAAATTTTTATGAAACCAATTAATAATGTAAGGTGTGTTTATGCATGTGTGATACACAGCACAGTTTGTTCAGGGCCAGAGGGTGGTACAAAAAAAATTACAAGAAATTAAGGGACAAATATGTCACTTCTGGTTAGAGGAAATAGTACATGAGCAACCCTTAGAATATAGAGAATTTCAAAAGGCAGTTATAGGAGATGGAGGGGGGCAGGTAAAAGAGGTGTAAGGGTGTGTCAAATTCAGGCTCTGAAGCATATTAGCTTTGTGACTATGAACGAGGGATTAAATATCCTAAATCTCTATTTCTTCTTCTGTAGAATAGAAAAAAAAATAGGCTCAGTGCTTCCAATACCCGCCTCACAAAGCTGTGGGAAAACACTTTGTAAATTATAAAACTATTAGATTTTTTAAAAACTCATCTAAATGTGAACTGATCTCATCTTAAGTATAGAGAAGATGTGAGGATGTTACAGAGACAAGAAGGCCTGGGTTGAGTTCAGAGTATAGTAAACACTCCAATTGGAGCCTTTGGGAAGTTATTTTGAGATCAAGATGGAAAGATAGAGTCAGATGGTAGAGAATCTCTTCCTTCTGTACACCTTCAGCATTTAAAATCTTTATTATTTCATTTGGCACTTAGGAAGATCTTTAGTAGGCCTTAATAAATATTTATTGAATTCCAATTTTTTTCTCCTGTGGGCTATCTTAATTAGGTTATAGACTACTGAAGGGCAGACAGGAACCTTATATGTATTTACACTCAGGTGCTATCTCTTTTGAAATATATGCCCCAGATTATTTTTTGGAGGGGATGTAGTTTAAGAGAGGGACACTTTTTTGGTACCTGCTGATAAAGGTATCTGCTATTCTATAGAATGTATGCTTCTTGAGAGAAAATATTCTTTCTTAAAATTTAGTTTTATTTATTTTTTGTTACATTTTAAGTTCCAAACTGTTTCTTTCACTTCCTCTCTAGCCTGCACTAGGGAAGGCAGCTGTTCGACAAAGGCATATGTAAAACTGTATTATCCTTCTATTTTTCAGTTCTTTCTCTGGTAGAGGATAGCATCTTCTTTCATAGGGCCTTCAAAGTTGATTTGAGTATTTATGCTACTCAGAACAACTTAGTCATTCACAGTTATTCTTTGAACAATATTGGTGTTACTGTATACAATATTGTCTTGGTTCTACTCATTTCACTCTTTATTATTTCATGCAAGTCTTTCCATGTTTTTCTAAAATCGACTTGCTCATCATTTCTTATAGCATAATAGTATTCCATCACAATCATATATCACAGCTTGTTCAGCCATTCCCCAATTGATGGGCATCCCCTCCACTTTCAGTTTTTTGCCACCACAGACAGAATTGCTATAAACATTTTAGAACATATACACTCTTTTCCTGTTTCCCTGATTGCCTTGGGAAACAGCCCTAATAGTAACATTGCTGAGTCAAAGGGAATATACAGTTTTGTAACTCTTTGGCATAATTCCAGATTGCTCTCCAAAATGGTTGGAACATTCACAGTTCTACAGTTCCAGTGTATTAGTGTCTTAATTTTTCCACATCCCCTCCAACATTTGTCATTTTCCTCTTCTATCATTTTAGCCAGTCTGATAGGCATGAAATGATATTTCTCTAATCAATAATGATCCAGAGCATTTTTTCTTATGACTACATAAATAGCTTTGATTTCTTCAATAAAATTGCTTGTTTGGGGGCAGCTACATGGCACAGTGGATAGAGCTCCGGCCTTGGAGTCAGGAGGACCTGAGTTGAAATCCGGCCTCAGATGCTTGACACTTAATAGCTGTGTGACCCTGGGCAAGTCACTTAACCCCAACTGCCAAAGCAAAAAAAAATGCTTGTTCATATAGTCTGACCATTTATCAATTGAGGAATGATTCTACTACAAATTTGACAAAGTTCTCTATATATTTGAGATTTGAGACCTTTATGTAAGAAATTGTCTATAAAATCACCCCCTCAATTTCCTATTTTCCTCCTAATCTTGTCTACATTTGTTTTATTTGTACAAACTTTTTAATTTTATGTAATCAAAATTATCCATTTTTAATCTCACAATGTTCTCTATATCTTTTTTATTCTTAAATCCTTCTATCTATAAGTCTAATAGGTAATCTGTTCCATGTTCTTCTAATTTCCTTATGATATTTCCCTTTCTGCCTAGATTACCTACCCATTTTGACCTTATCCTGGTAAATGGTAGAAGATATTGATCTATACCTAGTTTCTGCCAGACTGCTTCCCAATTATCCCCCAAATTTTAATCAAATAGTGAATTTTTACCCCAAAAGCTTAAATCTTTACATTTGTCAAACGCAACGTTACTATAGTCATTTACTATTGGATATTGTATGTCTACTCTGTTCCACTGATCCACCTTTCTATTTCTTAGCCAGTACCAGATAGTTTTGATGATTAGCACCTTATATAGTTTAAGATCTGGCACTGCTAGACCGCCTTCCTTTATATATTTTTTTAATTAATTCATTTGATTAAGGAATAAATGATATAGGAATCCTTTGATATTTTATTTCATATGCATAACACTCCTGCATGGAGCTTTTTACATTGCAGGTGCTTAATAAATACTTGTAGATAGATACCACTTTCTGACATAAGCCATAAACCAATAGCTTGGGAATGGGTGGGAAGGGGTAGAGCTATCTCCTCAGATTCAGCATTTTCCCTGGAAAACTCGATATATAACCACTAAATTTTAACTAAGCAATATGATAAAAGTGATACATATTTTTTTAAAGTAGACACTAAATTCTGATTATTTTATTCAGGCATTGCTCATCAATACAAACTTCTAAATTATACACTTTTTTTGAAATTTCATTGGCTTCATTTTTTTTTCTAGTGAAGATAATTAGGAAAGCGAAGATAATTAAGAAAATGGAGATGAAAGAAATATGGTAATCTCTTTGTCATTTTATTCTCATCAGTAGATAATTTGTCTCAGAAATGCCACTATTTAATTTTACCTACTTTGAAATTATGTGATGTTTGCCTTTATTTAGGGAAATTATAAACTTATACAATCATAGAGGAATATTCTTTTCAAGAATGGAGCATGAAAAAGGTTGACTGTATTTTGTGAGTATTTTTGGCAGATATGATTTCAATTCATAAACCTATAGATTTAGAGCCAGAAGGAACATTCTGGTTTAACCTCCTCATGTTACAGATGAAGAAACTGGTCCTGAAGAAGGCCGCTGAAGGCCTTATTTGCTTAAGGTCACACAAGTATCAAGGGTCAGACCTAGGATTTGAATCTAGGTTCTCTGACACCAAATCTGGTACCAGGTTGCCATCTATTTGGTAAATATTTATTAAAAATCTACTAGGTTCCGGGCACTGGGGATAGAAAAATGAAAAATTCCTTAGCCCTAATGTTGAGATATAAACAACTAGGGTTAAAAAAGGTAGATATGATTAGGAAAAAGGAGGGGCCTTGGCAAAATGCTATAAAAAACTGAGGAGAGAGATAACTCTTTGGGTGGAGAGGTGAAATCGTCCGCTAATATGCAAACCAACCAAAATCACCTCAGGACTAGGAAAATTGTCCAACAGAAGGTAAATGAGTATTTGCTTAATAATACATAATCTTTTGCTCCAAGGAAATGAGCTTAGTCAAACACCACAGAAAAGAAAGTGAGAGCAAAGAAAAACGAATTTTGAAATGTTAAAATTGGTCTCCTTACTCCCAATCTAATATTTTGACAGTCTGCAGTTTCATTGGTTCTGCGGGCCCAGGTAATTTCACCACAGGGGGATTAATAACAGCCCCTTCCTTTCAGCCCCAGGATAGAAGAAAAAAAATCACAACATAACAACAAACAGCTGTTGCATCTGACAGAAATTTCCTGGGGAATAAATACGCTGTATGTGCTCTTTCTCTTATCATTATTGTTGTTCTGAGGGTTGGTTTTTAGTGAATAATTGTTGATACTGCTCTTATTGTGCTACAGAAAAAGGCAATCCAGACGTAGGACATTGGGTCTGATTACCCTTCTGGGAGCAGAAAACACGATTTCCTCGGGCGTGGAGGGAAGTAACAGCAAATCAGAGACTGCTGCTTAGAGTCAAGCCTGCGCTCCACACCGGGCAGAGGAACGATGCCTTCTTTGTCAGCCTTTGTCAGTCAGACAGTCAACAAGCGTTTAATTAATGCTTTCACAGCTATGCTAAGCTCCGGACGTATAAAGACAGGCCCTCGAGGACCTCACATTCTAATGAGGAAAGACAACATGACGATAAGTGTGTACATTATGCATCTCTCTGTAGGTGTATATACGTATATATGCATACATCCGCCCATATGTACGCATATACACACAAATGGAGGGTAATTTGGAGGTTGACAAGCTTCCTTTTACGTCAGAGCTCTTCTTCTCTTGATCGTTCCATCCCCTGGTCCTGGCTCCTGACACCTGGATCCTCCTGGAATGATCCTTACTATCCTATCCAGTACCCATTCTACTTTGTCTTCCGCCTTGACTTACCTGTCATGGGGTGGGGAATGGTGGAGTTGGAACACTCCTTGATCCCCATTACTGCTTTGAGAGTCTCCCTCTGCTGTTATGCTCAGTAAATTTCCTCCTGAGGTTCATTCTATCCCATTTTTTCCCCCAGTCCAAATCCTGGTGACTATTATATGCTAACCCCCAGGATATTCTCCAGACAGTCTCACTGAGTTTAGAGTTTCCTTTCTCCACCTTTTGTTCTCACGAGAGAGAGAGAGAGAGAGAGAGAGAGAGAGAGAGAGAGAGAGAGAGAGAGAGAGAGAGAGAGAGAGAGAGAGAAAGGAGAGGGAGAAAGGAAGAAAGAAAGAGGAAAAGAGGAAGAGAGAAAGAAAAGAGAGGGAGAGGGAGGAGGGGAGAGAGAGAGATTTCCTTAAAGGTATACAGATACACAGTTTAGTAACTTTTAGAGCTTAATTCCAAATTGCTTTCCAGAAGGGCTAAATCAATTCACAGCTTCATCAATGTGCTTGCATCCTCATAGCCTCCCCCCCCCCAGCATTTGTTATTTTCCCTTTTCGGGCCAGCTTTACAAACTGGATGCAATCCTTTTATGTTTGCAGATGGAGAAACAGGCCTGGGGTGCAAGGGGAGAGCATGTAACTTGTATAAGGTCCCATTTCTGATAAATGGCAGTAAAGATATTTGAACCCAGGTCTCCCTGATTCCTAGGGCAGTGACTAATCCACTTTGCCATTTACAGTTGATAAATATTAGAGCTGGGATTCAAGCACAGGTCTCCTGCCTCCAAATCCAACATTCTTTCCGTATACCACATTGACTCCTACAGGAAGACTGCATGAAAATTAGTTTTTCCAAAATGAGCTTTGACAATAAATAATTTGCTCCTTAATCAAGAAGCCCTTAAGTTTTGTAGAGAAGTAAGTATGAGTAACCCCCCACAATTAGATATTTATTGGAATGTGACAAGACAATGGTTATGTGTGCAAATATGATATTATGTTTTTGTACCTGTTTCCACCAATTGGTTGAGTGCTTGGCAATTAGATAAATTAAAAAAGGGTGACTTTTTTCCATTTTATTTTTACCCCACACTTAATACTGTCATCTTAAAAAAAAAGTGGTGTCCAACCTACTGCCCCACACAGAGAACTGTAGAACATAAGAACTGGAATGGACCTTAAATACCATTTGGCCCATTGTGTTCCAACCCAAGGAGTGGTGTGGACTGAAAAAAAAATCTAAAGTCTATACCATGGTTTGCTTCATTTTCTGTAGCCTCGGCACATGGGCTCATTCAGCTTAGGGGAAAAACAACTAAAGAGAAAGGGACTATAGTAACAGAGATCCAGCGATAAAGAGAAAAAGAGGAAGTTAGGGTCTTGTTATGTTTTTATTTTTTTTTTCTTTGGTGAAGCAATCAGGGTTAAGTGACTTGCCCAGGGTCACATAGCTAGTAAGTGTCAAGTGTCTGAGGTTAGATTTGAACTCAGGTCCTCCTGACTCCACCTAGCTGCCCCCTTGTTTTGTTTTTAAAGATCGTAAGTTTCTAGAAGTGAGAGCCTTTGGTAGTAAATGTTTTGTAGACCTGGTTAAAAAAGCCAAAATAAAACTTGCCACAGACGAGCAGTGGGTGGAAACATTCTTTTCCAAATTGCTTATACAGCAGAAGAAAATACTTCATAGGATCATAGCTCTAGAGTAAGATGGATCCTTATCGGTAATCTAGTACAACCAGCCCTCTCACTTTACAGATGAAGAAACTGAGACTTACCCAAGATTTAAAGTATCAGAGTGGGCATTTGAACCTAGTATTCTTTCTTTTAACATCAGTGCTCATTCCACCATTTCATGCTAAATCCTGAATATTTCAGATACACTATTGCCATGAGTTAAAAATGGATCATTTAGTGGCCAACATAGTAGCCCTCAATCTGTGTTTCAAAACATGTCACCAATGGTCACAAATGCCCTGATTTTGATTGAAACCATCCCTGCCTCTTAAGGACCCTGTGGCTTTGGTGGTGGAGGCTCTTGGACTGTCCTAAAGCTAGGTGGCACAGTAGACAGAGTACTGGCCTTGGAGTCAGGAAGATAAGTCCTCCTGAGTTCAAATCTGGCCTCAGCTGTGTGACCCTGGGCAAGTCACTTAATCCTATTTGCCTTAATTTTCTCATATATAAAATGAGCTGGAAAAGGATATGGCAAACCACTCCAGAAACTTTGCCAAGGTAACCTCAAACAGGGTCACAAAGAGTCAGAGATGACTGAATAAAACTGTTTACAAAACAGTTTCTTTACAATAGTCCTTTGAGATAGATAGCATTAAGCAAGTCACTAACCTTATTTTATATAATTAGGGAAACTGAGGCTTAGGGAGATTACATGGCTTGGCCAGGGCTACCCACCAAAAAGTGTCAGAGCAGGGATCCACACGTGCTTCTCCTGATTAAATTCCTCACTGACCCAACCAGCTTCCTTTCCTCTTTTCATCTGGGTTTCGAGTGCCCAAAGTCCAGTTTTCTATATGCCATTTTCAGTCAAAATTTCAATAAATTAAATCAAAGAAAGAAGACTCAACATTGTACAGTAACTGTTATTTAATGCTTCATGGATTGAGATGAGTCCCACACTTTTTCTCGAGGTCTTCACCTGGTATCGATCACAGAATTTTAAAGAGCTCCTTAGACAGAGGCTGGTGTACATTTTACCAAGTAGATATGTCAGGAGCATATTTCTGTCTAAACTAATGTGCTTCAAAATTACTGACTAGCCTTCAAAGTAGAAATAAAGCAGGGGAAATCTGAGGTAATGGATTGCCTCACTATTTTGGAAAAAAAATATCCATCTGCTAATTTTCATCAGATCAGAGGGCATCAGAGAGAAACGACACATTCTCACTTGGTGGTCACCAATTATCTCATAGTGGTCACTGGCAGACTTGTAGATGTTAATTATGTTGGACAGATGCTGACAATGCACATCACAATTTAAAATTGTTCGAAGCTGGGGATCTCAGAGCAACTGTCATCAGGAAGAAAGGAAACAGGAATGTTCTGGGCAAAAATCACTATCCTTCTGAAACTTCACTGACCATCTCAGGACACTGTACTCCCTCCTTTGTACCTGAGACTGATTCTGACTGTCTACCACTACCTACCTTATCAGAGGTGGTGGGCAAGAATATTCTGTGGGAGTGGGACAGAAATATGCAAAAGATAGCTTGGGAAGCATTCAGGTCAAAAGGAGCTACTGGATGGCACCCTACCTTATTTCACCCATTCAGTTGTGAGCTCCTTGAGACTGAGGACAAGCTTTTGCCTCTTTTTGTATACCCAGTGTTTAGCACAGTGCCTGGTGATTAATAAAGTTTATTGGGCAGCTAGATGGCTCAGTGGACAGAGTGACAGGCCTGGAACCAGGAAGACTCATCTTCATGAGTTCAAATCCGGCCTCAGACACTTACTAGCTAGGTGACCCTTGACAAGTCGCTTAACCCTGTTTGTCTCAGTTTCCTCGTCTATAAAATGAACTGCAGAAGGAAATGGCAAACCACTCCAGTATCTCTGTCAAGAAAACCCCAAGGATTCAGGAAGAGTTGGACATGACTGAAACAACTGAATAGCAACAAATTGATTGACAGATTCACTTGTCACCTCAACAGCCACATCCTTAGAAGGTTCTTAATGAGAGGGAAAAGGGCAAGAGAAGGAACAAGCATTTATTAGGTATTTACTATCTGCCAGGTGCTTTACAAATATTAATTAGCTCATTTGATCCTCACAACAATTCTGGGATGTAGGTGCTATTGTAATTCCCATTTTAATTCCCTCTAATAAAAGGATTTATTCTGTGAAATTTGGATTCAGTCAAAGGGCCACACTTAAGGACCTACAGTGATACGTGTGGCCTCAGGGCTGTAGTTTCCCCCATCCCTGTGCTAGAGTGTTTTGTTATTTCTTTTTCTAGCTCATTTTACAGATGAGGAAACTGAGGCCAATAGGGTTAAGTGACTTGACTAGGGTCACACAGCTAGTAAGTGTCTGAGGCCAGTTTTGAATCCACTAAAATGAATCTTCCTGATTCCAGGCCCAGAACTCTGTCCACTGTGCCACCTAGTTGCTGCCAAACAGGGCAGGTAAAACTGAACTAATAGAATTTTAATTACTGGGCAGCTGCCTAAATGGCTGCATTTTTTAAAAACACATGCTTTCTTTCCATTTTGAACTTGTGTTTAAAACTCCTAGAACCATCTTAAGCTTTTCCACAAAATCTGAAAGACTCTCTTCAACTCACCTCCCTTCAGATATAGCCAGCCCATGCTCTCCTAGAGCTCAGTAGTCTTCCTCAACCATTCTATATTTCTGGTCCACTAAAAGGACTAATAGTTAAGAATCCTTGAAGGAATAAGCTGTATCAACTGATGTGATATATTTTGTTTTTAATTCATAGGGCAAAGAAAACAAGAAATAGCTAGATGAAAAATTTTATTTCAAAGTAAAATTATGCTATCTGCTTTATAATTATAAATTATGTTTATATTTATATATTATATATAATATATATTTATTATACATTACATATATAAATTATAATTATATTTAAAGTAGATTTGTACAAATAGTAGAAATTATAGTAAATCATAGCAAAAATTTTAAAAATTGGCATAAACTGACATCCCTGGTCCTTTTTAGTGTTAATTAAATAGCCCAACAAACCAGGACTGTCCAGAGCAATACAGCAGGAAGTTCTGCCACCTCATCTGCTGGGATTATTAAACCTGGCCTGGTCTATCCTTAGTGGGCATAACTTCTTACCCCAGAGGTAAGGATAGGGATTGGGCCTACTATTTCATTAGAAAACTCCCTCTAAACTAAGTCAGATTTATAAGAATACAAGTCATTCCCCAATTAATAAATCGTCGAAGGATATGAACAGGTAGTTTTCAGACGAAGAAATTAAAACTATGGTCACAAAAAAATACTGTAAATGATTATTGATTAGAGAAATAAAATCAAAACAACTCTTCAGTACTATCTCACCTATCAGATTGTCTAATGTGACACAAAACGAAAGTGATAAATGTTGGAGAAGAGGTGGGAAAATTGGGACACTAGTACATTGTTGAAGTTGTGAATTGATCCAACCATTCTGGAGAACAATTTGGAACTATGACCAAAGGGCTATAAAACTGTGCTTACCTTTTGACCCAGCAATAGCATGTCTAGGTCTGTATCCCAAAGAGATCATAAAAAAGGGGAAAGGAC